AAAACTGGAGTTTCTAAAAATATATATTTTTAGTATTAAATTCATTTAGTATATAAACTTCACACACATATATATATATATATATATATATATATATAAACAAAACATAGCTTATAATATGACATTCAGTCTAAAAGTTATATAAAATAACTATATATAATATGTTTCAGATTAATTATTTAGTTTACTCAGGAGTACTTCAAAGTCAATAGAAGTGTTAATTAGAAATGGCACTAATTAAATTACTTACAATACTGATTCATACACTCTGGATGGATCTTCGAGTGTTTGAATAAAACATTCTTGTTTAAAAAAGAATCTTGAAATGCATGAATGGAAGTTTTGAATGCTTGGACAGAATATTCAACCTTTGAATGGAACCTTTCAAATGTTTACTCAGAATTCTTTGTAGAAACAGGATATTTGAATTGAGGCTTTGAATGTCTGAATACAAAATTGAATGAAATCTTCAATTCTATAAACTTCTAAATAAACTGATAAAAAAAACAGCTGGCTCTTTGAATAAAATTGATTTAATTTATATTTTTAATAACTCAATTTATATTTTATTCAAAATGAATAATTCTTTATGTTTATTTGTTAAATAATAAAATCTCAGGTCTCTGAATGAAATGTAGTGTTCCCCACTGTACCCCAGGTGACATTCGGGTGTGGCAGATCAACCTGTTACCTGAGGGAGGGTACACACACACACACACACACACACTTGAGAGTATCTCTTATGTTCTGGGCTGCTGCGCCGGATCTCCTCCATTTATACTGTCATGAATACCTGAGCTGCCATCTCGACAGCATTACTGGGGATCACAGGCGCGAGCAACACGTCCCGGTGATGCACAGAACTGTTGTCTAGGTTTAGAGCTCGCTAGAATTTGGGACACAGACTTCAGTCCGAGTAACGGAAAGAAAAACAAAGAAAGCGGGCAGCGCACCTCTCTTTTCTCTGCTCTTTCGGGGGATGTGGAAGTTGAGTCGCGGCTGCTCTTGGGCTGGTTTCGCGGCCCACGAGACGCTCTTGACCCGTCTCTCTTCATCGGGACCGTCCGGACAATCCTCCTCTTCCTCCGTGGCGCCATTTTGGCTCCATGAAGGCGCAGCGGGATTGTCTTTCTCTTTGTCGCTGAATTTCCCTCCTCGACGCTCCATCACTGCTTTATTCACGAGCTGCAGACATGAGCGGCCGCGGATCCTCCTCGCAGGCGGCCTGGGGTTTGAGTCTGCTGCTGCAAGCGCGTCGCACCACACATAAACACACACACATGTACATGCCCACAGTGTGTGACTGTGAACGGAGCGCAGCAGCGCCACCCAGCGGGCTCCATCATAACACAGTACTCCAGCGCCGCCTGCAGGTGTCAGTTAGGGATGGGCGATACCCCTTATTTTGTTTCAATTCAATGCATATTGTACGCATTATTATTATTATTGTTGTTAAATAAACAAAACCACTGGTAAATAAAATGCACCTTAGTATCGATATTTTTGTTTGAGTATCGATACTTTCGATACTCGCGTCAGTATCGATATATCGATACTTTGTATCGATACGCCCATCCCTAGTGTCAGTGCTCCACTGCACAGTGTCCCTGCAGGTCACCACGAACAAACACAATATTACCACAATATACACACAGGTCACCGCGAACAAACACAATATTAGCACAATATACACAGTAGTATGATAAAGCTACAACAGCTTCGAACGCGGCTCAGCCAATCAGAATCAAGGACCGGAACTCTCCGTTTTATAAAGCAATGTGAGATATATTTATAACATAAATATTACATTAAAATATTGTCTAAATTGTCTGTAAACGGAATTATGAATATGTCCATAAGACAAAATCTATAAAAAACAAAACAAACAAAAAAACAAGGCAGATGGTATTAGTGAACTGCCATATTGTCTTTAATCTGTCATGAGTTATTGTTCTCCAGACTGGTCTAGGTGTGAGTCATCATGTGCAGAGGGGCCTCACCCAGGGGCCCTGCTGCTGTCAGGGGGACGCACCTGAGATAAGTGGGATCTTCAGGGGATATCACACAACCAGGAGCTCCAGTCATATGTCAGACCTGTTATTGCATCATTGATAGTAATAATCTACCTGAAGTAGATCGATCTCAAGAGGGTCTGCTCTCACTAATCTGGACAGACATTAATATTTACTTTTTTAAAAATACTTTTATTGAAATGTACTTTTATTCAGCAAGGATGCATTCAAGTGATCAAAAGCAACATTGATAATAATCAGAAATGTTTCTCGAGCAGCAAATCAGCATATCAGAATGATTTCTGAAGATCATGTGACACTGAAGACTGTAGTAATGATGCTGAAAATACAGCTGTGCATCTCTGGAATAAATTACATTATACTATATATTCAAATAGAAAATTTTAATAATATTTCACAATATAGAATACAGTTTTTACTGTAATTTTTATTGCAGCCTTGGTGAGCAGAAGAGAAAAAAAACAACATGAAAATAATATTGCAGACTCCAAACCTTATAGTGTATGCAGTCAAATGTGTAACAAGGGTGGTAGTAGGGAAATGTTACAGTAATTAGCCTAGTCTGAAAGGTAGTATACTGCAGGTCATATTCAGCAGGAGCTAAAGAAGAAGAGATTAGTGTTTTTAACATCCGTTCCCTGTGGTCCTCGTTATGAAGGTGTGATGCACTGCAGCAGAGGAGCAGTCCCTGAACATCGTTTCCACTGTGTAAAGATGGCAAACACTCAAAGCTGAACTTAAACTTCACACCTCTGCATCAAAACACTTCCTAAACCCAAAGCAAAGCAATCCAGAGCTGCTCGCATAACTACAATGCTATCACTTATAATGGTAATTAAATACAGTAATCTGAACATTGTGTGAAAGAAAGAAATATTTAAGGGTTTTAAAATGTTTATTTGATTTTCTTCATTTTGCTTCACACTGTCCATCAGTCAGTCTCTCCCATGTGTTAAATATGCATTCCCGCCCTAATTTACCTCCATTTCTTTTGATTTCTACATCAACTCTCTCTTAACTCCAAACCACCATTTCCTTTTAATCCAACAGCAACCAAACAGAAAAACAAAAGAGTCAATCAGGTGAAAAACAAACTATAAATAAACATCTTATATCATACATTTCAACACAATACTTGTGAGAGAAAACAAAACAAGAAAAAGAAAAAGAATAAAAGACTCTTGAATAGTTTTTATATACAGAACGCTGCACATCTGACAATACAAAACACGGCCTAGCGAGTAAACCTGAAGACACTTAAAGCACCAGACACGCTTTGGCAAAGGCTGCTCTCTCTACAGCGTAAGTTGTCAGTTTTGGCGCATACAGAAACACTGACAGAGATTGGCACAAGAGACTTTCCGTTTAGTTTGCGTTCACGTTACAGTGTATTCCAGCAAACTGCTACAGAACAATTTATGAACAAAACTGATATTTCCAGCACAATGTCACTGTGTGACACAGCTCCGTGGGATCAGGAAATAACTCAAGCTACCAGTCCTCAATACGGGATTATAGATTTAATATTCATCACTGGATCTGACATCGATGCAGAAATGCTTTAATCTGGCAGTGCTGCGACACACTATGAGATGAACATGTGTAATATATGCTCCTCATTCAGAAATACTATGATCGCCCTTTACTCGTGACTATAGTGAAAACATTAGACTGGTCATTTTTTATTAGTGATTACTGAATGAACATTAAACACCTGAACAATATTACACCAATGTGACTCTTTTCTTGCACAGACAGTGTGATTAAAGTGGCCCCAGTCTTACAGCATGTGGAAAGGCAGACAGATGCTCCACAAAGTCCGTTTCTGAAAGACTGGACAGCACAGTGAAAGAAAGGCACGAGAATAACACGTAAGTTAAGAGCCACCGACAGCCGTGTCAGACTCAGAGAAGTGCTTCCTGTAAACGGTGGCACACTGCTGAAGAGGCTCGCTGCTGCAGCAGCACGCGGTCACACGGTCACAGGGCTGAGCATCTGTGTGCACTCAGAGCTAGCGTCAGTGCTGTGCATCATGCTGCGGTCTCGCTCTGTCCTGACAGGCTGTCTGCGCCGCTCCACACTCTGCTGACCACACAGCTTCTTTGGCCTGTCGAATGCAGTTGAGCCACTGCTGTTTATTGAAGGCGTCGCTGGCCTGGAAGCAGTGCGTCTGCAGCTGTCCTCCGCTGCGAAACACCACCCGGAAAAAGTTCTTGACTGGACGCAGACAAACAGAGAAGGACATGTTTAGAGCAGCTGTAGTTCTGAAGCATTCACAGCATGTCGAGTAAGACAGGGATTCTTGATGCCACCATACAGATACAGCACTGGTCAAACGTTTGGGATAATTAAGATTGCTTTAAATGTTTTTGAAAGAAGTCTCATGCTCACCAAAGCTGCAATTATTTGATCAAAAATACAGTAATATAGTTAAATATTAATATGATTTAAAAGAAAAGTTTTCTATGTGAATATCTGTTAAACTGTAATTTATTTCTGTGATGCGCAGCTGTATTTTCAGCATCATAACTCCAGTCTTCAGTGTCACATGATCTTCAGAAATCAGTATAATATGCTGATTTGCTGCTCGAGAAACATTTCTCATTATTATCAATGTTGAAAACAGCTGTGCTGCACAATATTTTTGTGGAAACTGTGACACCCCAAACATATGGATGGCAGTGCAAGTAAGATTTTAAATAATAATAATAATTAAACGATTAGGACACATTAAATTGACAGTAAAGATATTTATAATGTTACAAAAGATTTCCATTTCAAATTAATGCTGTTCTTTTGAACGCTTTATTATTCAAAGAATCAGAGTTTCAAAGTAGCAAAGACGGTTTCCAACGCTGATAAGAACCATTGTTAATAATGAACTAAAATACCACCATTAAAGGCAGAGTAAGTGATTTTTCAAAAACACTTTAGAAAACTGATTCGGGCCGAATCGCAAAACAAACTTGTAGCCAATCAGCAATAAGGGGCGTGTCTACTCGTGATGTGGAGGAGAGCGCGTTCAGTGGATGGGACGGACATTAGCCGAGCCAAGCGACAGAAAGATAGAGATGGCGGATAAAAAACAAAAGAGGAAAACGTCTGCGGAACAATAAGGCAAGAAGTAGGACCCGTGTAAATATCGGATCAGCTTTCCAGCGCTGGAGAGAACTCAAGGAGCGGAGGCCTGCGATCGGACGCCGAGGTTGCTTTGTTTCTTCTCAATAGGGGAGTAACACCGTGTCTACAACAGCTAAAGTCTGACTACACTGGACGCGATCAAACGACCGTTGAAAACCATTTGAAATTTAGGGGCGTGTTTGTTTTGGTGATTTCAAATATCAACATTGGCTACCAGAAATCACTTACTCTGCCTTTAAGTGGGTCTTTATGGATGAAAATATATAAATGTTAGGATGGGGGGCCCTCGCAGGTGGATGGTCATATTTGAGTACAGGCACTGTATAACCATAATATATAAATATTGGGTCTCTTTAAACAGAGTAATAAGCTTCCAAAGTCATTCTTTTAAAAAAAATTAATAGTTTTACTGTTGTAATAATAGCGTATTAATGTAAGGGTAACGATGAGGACGCACGTCACAGTCTGTCAGCCAATCAGCGTGCGAGAGAAGCGCCTCACGCGCGCGCCGTCAAGCCCACCTGGCACGCGCTCTGTCGCTGCTCTAATGCTTCATATGTGCATATAACACTAT